TCTTCAGAATCGAACCGAACTGACCTACGGACAGCCCTATTGGGAAGTGGGGAGAGCAGCTAGCATGGCTCGACTCATCCCACTAGCGATCTGAGCAGCGAATCACTCGTCTGAGATCATATTGAATAAAAATGCAATTCCAATAAAAAATAAATGAATATATGGCTGTGTCTGGGAACACTTTTTCAAACCAATTAAAATCATTTTTATAGTCGTTAACAGCAAACCAGCAGCAATAATTGACTGCTCCACTCACAGTTGGGGCCCAGAAATTGACTGCAACGGTCCAATTTTTCCATTGCAACGGTTGGAATTACAATTAAAATTCCAACCAGACACACGCATAAATATTAGAAAATGGGCAAGCTTGTGGGAGGAAAAGAGCTAGACTTTGGTTGAGTGAACAGGCTCGTGCTTGGCTCTTTTCCCAGGCGAGCACGAGCTGGCTAGCCCCATTTAACATCTCTATTTTAGCCTATGCAATGTTATGAGTCATGTCAAGTACAACATACTATATTTATAGCATGTTTGGCAAATTAAACATACTTTTTATTAGCACATTTTGAGGAACCAAAACTATATATTATCAACACATTTCAATAGGATCAAAGCTAATAAACACTCAAAAGCACTACCAAACAAGCACTTACCATGATTCCAGGGACGGATGGGGGGATTCTCCTTTTGAGGAGGTTGAGAGTGTTCTCGGCAACCTGCTCGGGAGTTGCCTTATCCTTGCATTCAGCTCCCTGGATAACCATGCTAGGCTTGAGGAGGATACCCTCAAACATGACATTGTTCTCAGCCAAGTAGAAGAAAACCTCAGCCCATACCTTTTGAGCAACCTCAAAAGTCCTATCAATCCCATGTTCTCCATCAAGCAAGATTTCTGGTTCCACAATTGGAACTAATCCATTGTCCTGAGCACAAAATAGACATCAATTTTCAAGTAGACAACTTTTGATTTATCTAGCATGCTGGTAAGCAGTACTTAACGAGACTATACAATTTTTGATAATGTCCAATCCTTTTTAACCAATGTGCAATTTTAGTAAATTGACCGTTTTCAAAACAAATGTAAGTACTTGAGAAACGGCAGCATATCAAGCCAGTCCCCAGGCAGCCTCCTTCACATATAAGGCAGATGTACCGTTGGGAATGCTCACAACGGTACGCCTAAAAGATGAGAATTCAGCAGATATCAATAAAATACAGCTGATAGTGGATAAAAAATTGCACAAATTTTGATAAATTGTAAAACGAGAATGAGTACCATTTGGCAAAACGAGCACCCTGTTCATGGAAGCAGCAGAACGGGAAGCAATGCCATCAAGACTATGGCACCAGGACTCATTATTTGAACCAGCAAGAGGAACCAAACCCTGCACAAACTCAACCAACATTTTTAAGAAGTTTAAAACTTCTTTATGCACGTATAAGTAAAACTTTTCAAGCTTAGCAAAACAAGTTCTAATTATATCCTCTTTCTAAAAGTTTAAGCTCTCTGATGAGTCAACAAAATGTATGTAGAATAGTAGTTACCTTGTCGACGTTGATTGCAGGGACAATGTTTTGCTCGACTAGGACATCGTCCATTTTCTTCCCCTGTGTTGTGGATTGGTAGAGAGTCTCCTCAAATAGAATTGCACCTGACATGTACTGGCCAAGGCCAGGAGCAGTCATGAGGAGGATGCGGTAAACTTGACTGTTAGCCTCCGTGTTCTCAAACCCGATGGATGCCAAACGCTTTCCACACAAGTAGCATTGGATTCATCCATTGCCAGAATTCCACGCTCCAGTGATGCAACAGTTTTCTACATATCAAGACGACGTTTTCCAATTACTCATTTTGAACTTCAAAGTAACACAATTTTGTTTGTGAAGTTGTAGTGCCAAAACTAAGTCATTTAACATGTTAGAAACTTGTAGATAGACAGGTTGGAATGGAGTTGTTTTATATGAATGTTAAATCATGATGTAGTCGAAGATTATAACGATCAATCCCGACCCCGAGGTTTCAGGGTTCGAGTGCTTGTTAAATTACAACTTATTGGAATCAATCTCAAGAAATAAGTTTATATAATAGGATAATTTTCACCGGTGAAATGATAAAACCTATGCCAAGAATCTATCACAAACTTGTAAGTTAATCACTTACATTGATATTCTCTATTATCCTTATAATTTAGGTCATTTATTGATTTAAGTATCGAAGTGTCTCCAAGAACTCCCTACCCCTTATGCAGGTACTCGCGCCCACGAGCCTAAACACCAACTCGAGCTCGGTACTAGCCCCTTAGTGCATGCTAGTAAGAAATCAAGCACAATTCACTGAGGTGTTACTTGTACAGATTGCATCGACTGAGCTAACTCTGAAAAATAAATATTTACCGCAGTTTTGATGAGCTCATCGGCGTAAGAGGAAGCACGAACGTTAAGCGATGATGGGGAAGCATTAGGGTGGCTGTGGATGACCATTTGACGGAGTGTCTCGCCCTTGATAAACTCCGACTTGTCAAGAACGGGAGATGACTTAAGAAGTGATGCTGAGGCCATATTCTACACTCTTATCTCCTCTTTCAGATTTTCACACTTCGCCACAAATAAGCACACACTCAACATTCTATTTATGATTATTCGTACAAAAGATGTCTCATTTCCAGGATTAGGTGACTTCAACACCTAGCGGTGGCTGGGCCCATGTACCCACAAGCCCGGCTCGTCACTTTGATGAGCTGAGCTCAAGCTCGTTCAAGCACGAGCAGAGCATGAGCCAAGCCCACGAGCTTGATTTTTTTTTCATTTTTTTTTCGACTTTTTTGCTCACATTTTTTACTAACCCATGAGCTGAGCTCGTGAGCTTTAGGCTCGCCAAATGAGCCCCTCGCTCGGCTTGGGCTCATCCCAAAACAAGCCGAGCTGACGAGCTACTCGGCCCTTTTTGCCACCCCTATCAGCACCAGGAAGATTGCCACGTCAACCAAGTTCATCAAGAACATTACGCTTCTTAGCTATTATAGAGAAAAAAGAAGATTTGCCTTTAGAAGTTGCACTAGAGATTGGAGAAGAAGACATATTTTCATTGTTACCATATTTGAAATTTGTTTTATTTTTTTTTTAGGGGTCGCGGGTTACACCTCTTTGGCCCGTGAACCGCCCGCACGGGTCATGGGTCGGCCCGCGGTCCCGATTTTCACGGGTCGGCCGGCCCGTCTGTCTTGACAACTCTACTCTTGGTGACTGCTTGAGCCCATATAGAGACTTATTTAGTCTGCATACCCATTTTTCTTCATTTTCTTTGCAAAAACCTAGTGGTAATGTCATGTACACTTCTTCCTCCAATTCCCCGTTTAAGAATGCATTTTTAATATCTAGTTGCTGAAGCTACCAATCCAAGTTTGCTGCTAGTGATATAAGGACTCGAACTGTATTAACTTTGCTACTGGTGTAAATATTTCAGTATAATCGATGCCATATGTTTGTATATAGCCTTTAGCAACCAATCGAGCTTTATACCGTTCTATCGTCCCATCAGCATTGTATTTCAAATTGAAGACCCATTTGCATCCAACTAGTTTATTTCCTTTCGGTAGGTCCATTACAACCTAAGTATCATTTTTCTCCAATGCTCTCATTTCTTCCAGTACTGCTTCTCTCCACTGTGGAATCTCCAGGGCTTCCTGAACAATTCTTAGAATGGATGTATTGTCTAGGTGAGTGGTAAATGCACGATAACTTGTAGATAAGGTGTTGTATGACATGAATTTAGAAATAGGGTGAAGAGTACATGACCTTGTTTGTTTTCTGAGAGCAATGGGTAACTCAGATTCTGATATTTCTACTTTTTGGGGTTCTGGAGCTACCATCAGTTCGGACTCTCTTGGTGCTTCAGAAGTGAGATTCTCCATGTACTTTGATTTTGGCTTTCTTGAGTAAACTAGTATCTTCTTGTCATGTTGTTTTTTTGCATCTCCCCCTGGATTCGAGTTTCCATCTGTCAATGGCAGAGTAGATGGGATAGGTTCAGAAGAGGAGAGACTGAGATCCACGAAACGAGGCAGAGCAGATGGGATAGGTTCAGAAGAGGAGAGACTGAGATCCACGAAACGATCTTCATGTAAGGTCTCCCCCTGAAGAGAGGTGTTTCCAAAGTATGGAGTGTTTTCGAAGAAGGTGACGTCAAGACTAACAAAGATTTTTTTAGTGATAGGGTCATAACATCTGTACCCCTTTTGTGTTGGAGAGTATCCAATCAGAACACATTTAATGGCCCGGGGTTCAAGTTTACTTCTGCGGTGAGAGTGAATGTGCAGAAATGCGGTGCACCCAAACACTCGTAGGTTTAGATTTGAAGTGAGACGAGAGGTTGGGAAATGTTTTTGAAACTGTTGAAGAGGTGTTTCGAAATTTAGAACACGACTGGGCATTCGGTTGATGAGATAGGTGGATGTAAGAATAGCATCTCCCCAGAATAATGTAGGCATTTTTGTGGTAAACATTAGAGCTCGGGCAACTTCTAGGAGATGTCTATTTTTACGTTCGGAAATCCCATTTTGTTGGGGAGTGTCGACACAGGAACTTTGATGAATTATCCCATGTGTTCGGAGAAAGTCTCCTAGGATGTGATTGAAGTATTCAGTGCCATTATCCGTACGTAAAATTTGAATCTGAGTTTGGAATTGTGTTTGAATCATCGAGTGGAAGTTAATAAACATGGTACGGACATCTGACTTGTCTTTTAATAGGTAGACCCAACATACTCGAGTGTGATCGTCAATAAAGGTGACAAACCATTTTGTGTGAGTACGGTTTGGGACTCGGGAGGGACCCCAAACATCGCTGTGAATCATGGTGAACGGTTTTGATGGTTTATATATAGATTTGTGGAAAGATGTAAGCTGATGTTTCGCAAGTTCACAGACTTCACATTGAAAATTGACTGAACTCTTATTCAAGAAAATGGAAGGGAATATACGTTTCATGTTGAATACTAGGGTGTCCCATTCTAAAGTGTCATAACATAAGTTCACTATCTCTAAGGGAAGATGCAGAATCATAGATGTTAACTTGATACTATTTACTCACGTCAGACTTATCAAAATAGTAGAATCCTTCACTTTCCTCAGCACTGTCAATCGTTTTCCCTGATGATAGGTCCTGAAAGACACAATGAGATGAGAAAAATTTCGCGGAGCAATTTGAAGTTTTTGTTAACTGACTTATAGATAGTAGGTTGCATGATAAATTTGGGACATAAAGAACTGATTTCAAAGTTATAGAGTCAGAAATTTTAATACTCCATTTTCCGGCTACAGAGGACAGGGACCCATCAGCAATTTTAACTTTGAGATTACCGGCACATGTAGAATATGAAAAAAAATAGGTTATGGGATCCCTTCATGTGATCAGAGGCTCCGGAGTCAATGATCCAGGATGTACTAGACTTTGTGATGGATGTTAGGGCTCTTAAGAAATTACCTCTATAAGCCAGTGAACTTGATGGATTGGTTGTGGAGTTTTGACTCGATTGGAAGCTCGAAAACAATTTGTAGAGTTACTCCATCTGCTCAGAATTGAATGCACCACTGGATTCCTTGGATTTTTCCGTTTGATAATCAACAGACGCTTGGTATCCACGATTTTTATTGTTTTGTTTTGGTTTCCAATCGCTCGGTTTCCCATGTTTATCCCAACATGTGTCTTCTTTATGTCCCGATTTTCGACAGTATTCACACCAAAGTCGACCCCTTTGTGGTTTTATACCTAACAAAGTTGTTGCCCCTTTAGAATATAGGCTAGTCATACCAGGCCCATTACTGAAATGATTTGGCCCATTATTAAAAATAGCTCCAATGGGCAAATTAGGAGGCCCGTTATTGGAAGCCCCAATTCCTTTAGAAATAAGACCAGAGACTTCAACATTTGGAGGCCCAAATCCAACTGGACTCATTCAACATCACCTTCCTCCGGTTCTCTTCACGCCTCACCTCTGCGAACACCTCTCGTGGCGAGGGAAGGGGACGCCAGACAAGAATTCGCCCACGGACGTCGTCGAGATCGTGGTGGAGCCCTGCCAAAAACTCATACACACGTTCGTTTTCCAACTTCTTTTTGTACTAAACACTGTCTTCAGCGAACTTCCACTCTTCGTCAGAACTTAGATCAAGTTCTTGCCACAGCCCACTCATCTCAAGGTAGTAATCAGTCACCTCTCGTTCACCTTGTTTCGTTTGCCACAATTTTGATTTGATTTCGAAGATTTTGGAGGAGTTCTCAGAGTCCGAATACATCTCCCTTACGGCTTCCCAGACTTCGTTCGCGGTTGGAAGAAACAAGTATGCCTTTCCGATGGCGGGTTGCATGGAATTCACCAGCCAAGCAGTCACCATCGAGTTTTCTGATTTCCACTTCTGGAGAAGGGCAGAATTGGTTGATAAGGGCATCTTGGTGTCGCCAGTCAGGTACCCTAGCTTGCCTTTCCCATCCACAATAAGTTTAATAGATTGGGCCCACTCACGAAAATTCTTCCCATTCAATTTTTCTACTGTGAATTGGAAGGATGAATTTTCAATTCCTCCTGTATTCATGGAGGTTGCTTCCGGTTCACTGTTGGTTGATTCGGAGGTTATTGAACCTCTATTATTTTCAGCTGCTTCAGCCATATTAGACTAGGTTAGAAATAACCTAGCTCTGATACCATGAAGAGAAATTGATTTCTATTATTTCTTCTTATTAATTTACAATCCAATACACCTACTTATAGTACAAGGAACGGAGAAAAATATGGAAAGAAATAATTTTACGATCGAAGAGATTACAATATTTCATATATGGAAAGATCAATCATTCCTAATTTTGACCCCAATTATTACGTGATTTCAACAAGTTCTGATCCCTTGTCGCTGGAAGCGGTACTAATGGTTGTTACATCTAAGTAGTGCATATTTCCTTATTCCTTGCTCGAACTACAAGGAAAAGCTCCTATCTCGGCTCCTTCAGGGGTACCATTGTCTTGTGTCTTAGCAAAAGAGTCAGGCTTGAATCCAAGAGTTTCCGACAATGCGTCTTTAAGAGAGAATTCCAACCGTTTTCTAATATTAAGGGATCTTTAGTCAGGCAGGAATCTGCCCAGTGACATCTTCTAGTGAAAGCACAGATCCACTCTGCTCAATTTCTACAGAAACGAGACTTGAAGAAGAAACAGAGTTTGTCATGTCATCACCAACACATGGCAAGAAGATGAGTAGACCACGCTGTCAATACCTGCCCATAGTACAAAAATGTGTTCACCATAATGTATCAGATATATAAATTATAGTACCATTAAAAGAAAAGCTTCATAGTTTCTAGAGATAATTGTTCTCAATGGTACATAAGATTCAACATCAAATGCCTCGAGTTTGATGAAAACACTACCTCAATAAACGTAAAATAGGTGGTCATTACACAATACAAGCACCAATTCTTGAGTTTATAAGCACCAGTGCAGAACAAATCAAGATAACCTCGTAATATGACTGCACAAGAAACAACAAAAAGAAGCGACTGACTTCATA